GTTCTACAAAAAATGTCTCCTATAATTTTTTCGTAAATTCACTCCTTTAATAGTTATTCAAGGTTGAAATTAGACATATAATAAATGTAACGTTTAAATAACACAGGAATTTTTTTTTTAACTTTTAATTTTATAACTTTTTTTTTGAGTGGACATATTGGAAGGTGGTTATCCTTTGACACTCTTCAGTTATTCGTTCTTGTAGAACTTGAATAGAAGCTGACTGTGTTTTATAGATTTTAGACTTCAAATGGCCCCATAGAAAGAAGTCCAGGGGTAAAAGATCAGGGGACCTTGCACTGCAAGGCTTGCAGGCCACTCAATAGGTCCTCTTCGGCCAATCCAATGGTCTCTAAAATTTTCATTTAGAAATTGCTGAACGGGTGCTGCATAATGCGGTGGGGCTCATCTTGTTGAAAAAACATTTCATTTTGCGACAAGATATTATCTTCAGCAATAACTTCCCTTATTCTAGGAACAATATTTTCTTCAAGTAAAGTCAGATACATAGCCCCAGTCAAATTGCCTTGTAAAAAGAATGGTCCAATTATGTTATTGCCTAGAATACCTGCCCAGACATTTAACTTTTCAGGATTTTGAGTATGAGACTCTCTAAATAAATGTGGATTTGAATCGCTCCAGTATCGACAATTATGTCGATTGACTAATCCATGTAAAAAAAAGGAGCATTCATCTAAAAAGCAGACATTATAAAGAAAATTTAGATTGCCAACACACCGTTCACTCATTTCTTCTACAAATTGTAATCGTCGATCATAATCATCCTCATTAAGATCGTGAAGCAATTGTATCTTGTAGGGGTAAAATTTGTGAACCTTCAAAATTCTCCTTACGCTTGTTCGTGATATGCCGGAAACTTAGGACAATTGCCTAGTACTTAAGGTGTTATCCATTGCAATGTGCCCTATGACTGCGATTTGCATACCTTCATTCCTAACGATACGAATCGGATTATCTTTTTTGTTCTCCACTGTTCCAGTTTCCAAAAACTTTACCATCAGTTTCCTAATATAAGGATGAGAGACATTTTTGTCCTGATGTCTTACATTAAACAGTCGTGCTGTTTGTCTTGCACAGTCATTGTTTTTGAAATAAGTATAAACTAATTCAACTCGCTCGGCTATAGTGTATACCATAATTAAATTTAGTTATAAGCTCTCGAACTAACGATAATAATCTTAATGATGATTGTGCGACAATATTTTGTAAATAAAGTTTACAAAAAACACACTTTTTTCTTCAAACGTAAAAAAACTGATGTTTTGCTAATATTTACTTCATTCCTTCGGCATACCTACAGACTGTCTCAAAAGAATCGCTTTTACTCTTACTAAAATAATAGCCAATTTTCAAGATTTTAACAAGCTGTCATATCAATGGGAATTATAGCAGCGAGTTTAAACTTAGAGGGTATAATCAGGGCAAAAATACCTTTAAAAAGAAGCATCACTCGACCCCCTTTTCCTATTCAAATTTTGGGGGTAACTTTCACCCACGCTCAGGGGTTGAAGTTAAGGGGTTGAAAATATAAAAACAAATTGTCCCCCTCAAATCAGAAATCGACGGGTGCGAGCGTTTTTTATTTTTTTTCGTAACACCTGAGAAAACCGGGTGGAAACTTTCCATTGGCCCACCCTGTATATATATACCTATATATTAACAAAAAAACTCCATAAAGGTAAAAACTATGAACAAAATTTGTTAATTTAATTAATTTTTAACTACATTATAAACATACATTTCAACAATTATTTACAAAAAATCATATTTATAATAACGTTTACTGCAATTGGCATTTAATATGAAACATGCTATAAGTATTTACGTATATATATCGTAGGTATATAAAAAGTTACGATATGCTTTTCTAATATTCTTATTGGGTCCTATTTTTATCTACAGCTACTACTTTCTCTGTAATAACAAAATATTGGAATAACGTTATGTACATTTACCACTTTAATATATACATTAGGGTGGTCCTTAATAAGGTTATTTTCAAATTTCTTTGCTCCCAGGGGCTCAAATGCTTCCAAATTAATTAAAAAAAATTCCCTGAAAATTTGAGCTCTGAATATTAACTCTGAGATAGTGCGCATTCCAATCTAAGTTTCCTATGGAAATAACATACGAAAAATTACTTTTGTTGTTTATAATTTTATAACTTAGGAACGAATGAATTAAAAATTATACATATTTTTATAGAGAATTTAACGCTCTACAAAAAAGGTTTCTTATAATTTTTCCATTAGTCTATTTGTTTAAAAGTTATTCAACGTCAAAGTTTAATTTTCATATTATCAAGGCTTTTTTATGAGGCGCCGTTTGTGTCAAAATTAAAAGTGCTAAATAAACTTATTTTGTTTTATAAATAATTAATTATATGCTTTACCAAATAATTTTTTTATAAAATTATTTTTTTATAATTTTTGTTTTGTAAAATATTTTTTTTATAATTTTTTTTTTGTAAAAAATTTTATAAAATAATTTTTTTATAAAATTATTTTTTTATAAAATAATTTTTTTTTAAATAATTTTTTTATAAAATAATTCTTTTTTATAAAATTATTTTTTTATAAAATAATTTTCTGCGAATCAAAAATTATTTTATAAAAGACGACGCATTTATAAATTAATTTTTACTGCAGCCATCTCTATTTGTTTGTAGACACTCGAGTAAACCCGAGTAAACCCGAACGCCCCTCCCCAGATACAATTGACGGACTGGGCTTTGGTTTGACGCAATTTGGGGAAACGATTGAAAATAATAATATATTATTTTTATTCATTAATTCATTAATTTTTTTATCTACATTTATTTTGATTTTTAGTTTTTAACAAGAATTCTTTATGTTTAAACGTTTTTTATAAGAAAGCACTTTTAGTTAAATGCAAAACAAATAATGATTTACACCTTTAAATAATAGAATTCTTTATGTTTAAACGTTTTTTATAAGAAAGCACTTGTTAAAAACTAAAATAAATAAATAAAATAATTCTGTTGAAAACAAATTAAAATAAATAAATCAATTCTCTTAAAACAAAACTAAAACTCAAAAAAAATTATTTTATAAAAAAGAATTATTTTATAAAAAAAATTATTTAAAAAAAAATTATTTTATAAAATTTTTTAGAAAAAATTTTATTTTTTTAAATTATTTTATAAAAAAATAATTTTATAAAAAAATTATTTGGTAAAGCATATAACACTAGTTTACAAAATTTGATAAAGTTGTTCCTCATTTAACCAAAACCACTTTTTTTAAGGTAAAATTTTGTACTGATTTTAAAAATAATAGTAGTTTTTCTGGTTTAGCTCTAGATTTTGGGTTATGCATGAAATCTCGCAAGAATGCACTGTTACAGAATATTCAATCAAAAATATGCAGCTAAAATTTTATTTGATATCAAATCAATCTCAAATCTTTATAGCTGTAAGGACTGAAGTTTAATACAAATTTTAAGATGTAATGCTCCTAAATCGCATTAGTGGTTGTGTCACTATGACCAAAAATGGGTTAGAAAAAAATCATTATTTCCCGATTTTTTTAATTTTTTCAACTTTGGTCCACTTTATAACAAAAAAATATTTTGGAATATAAAAAGTTAGTCCCCCTATATTCTAGAGAATTTAATTATGAAAATTTTAAGCATACGTACGTCAATATATGATGAGATTTAGATTATATACGGTAAATTGTTTGAAGCAATAAAAAATTTAATCATTAATAATATTACGTTTTTTTTAGATTAAATAAGGAAAAAAAAATATCAAACCCGTTTTTTTTTTAATTTTTTGTTTATTTTATTTTTTTATTTAATTTACTTCCATAAACATTTATTTTTAATTTTAGATTTTGTTTATTTATAATGAGGAATATGTGTGGTGTTCACTTTTTTTCTGTACTGCATCGGATCCGTTTCTCTTATTATTGTCCAACAGTAATCCCCCATCATTCCTTCATCCCAGAAACCCTGATATCTTCTTTCAAGAGCCATTAGGTCCTGATGAAATCTTTCACCCTGCTCATCACTTTGTGCACCCAAATTCTCCGGAAAAAAATCTAAATGCGAGTGTAAGAAATGCATTTTAAGAGACATTCTCGCACCAATTTTATAATAATTTTTCAGTAAATTTTCAACAATTGCAGCATAATTTTCGTATTTATTGTTCCCTAAAAATCCTTCTACAACTTGATTAAAGCTGGTCCATGCAGCTGCTTCCTCAGTCGACAATTTTTGTACAAATTGTTCATCATTCAGCAATTTTCTTATTTGTGGACCCACAAAAATACCTTCTTTTAATTTTGCGGTACTAATCTTTGGAAAAAAATTGGTGAGATATCGAAAGGCAGGTCCATCATTGTCCAATGCTTTGACAAAGTTTTTCATGAGGCCCAATTTGATATGAAGCGGCGGCAAAATCACTGAATTTGCTTCTACTAATGGTCGATTTAAGAGATTAAAAGACCCAACGGTATAATTTGTTCTGGATGGCCATTCCTTGCGAACATAATGATGTGCTTTAGCCCGACTGTCCCATAGACAAAGAAAGCAGCAATACTTAGTAAATCCACCTTGTAGGCCTGTAAGGACTGCAACCACCTGTAAAATAACAAAAAAAACTGCTTTAATAAATCCTTATAACACAATAAAAAAAATTCTACCTTTAAGTCTGCACAAACTTTCCATTTAAATTTATCATAGTTTATCAATTGCAACACCTCTGGAATTTGTTCATAAGTCTTCTTTACATTTACTGCATGTGTAATTGGAATTGTCGGTAAATTATTTCCATTGTGTAATAAAGCCGCCTTCAAACTATTTTTTGAACTGTCTATGAAAAGACGCCATTCTGTTGGTGTATGTTGTACTCGTAGTTGTTCAAATAAGCCATCAATATTATGGCAGTAACAAATATTATCTATTTTCGTAAAAAACACAGAAAACAAGTCACTTCTATTTCGGTAAATAGTCACTTTTGTCGATTTATCAAGACATTTCCATTGGTTAAGGCGCGATGCTAGCACTTCACTATCCCTTTTCGACAACTTAAGGTCCCTAATTAAATCATTTAATTCGGCTTGTGTTACATCATGTTTTTTTTCTGCATCGAATTCATTTTCAGAAGAAGACGTATCAAAACTAGGTTCGTTTTTGCTTGATTTGTCATAACTTAAAGGATGTTTTGGTTTTGGTAGATTTTCATCATGTAGAACTGGTTTTTTCGCCGAAGTAACATCTGGATACTGAAGAGATTTTCTTTTTTTTGAGTTTATACCAGTAATATTTATCACACAAAAGTAACAATCTAAATGATCCACTGGTTCTGCCCATAAAACTGGACAGCCAAAACTCAAATAAACGTTTTTTCCAGACATCCAGCTATTCAACGTTATGTTGCAATTTGGACAAATTAAACTTGGTGTCCAAGATTTCTCTTCATTTCTTATTTCAAAACCAAAATAACGTAAATATGCAATCTTTAGGTTTGGTGTTATTTTTCTACCTTTTTTTCCAAAAATATAGTGTCCGCATATAAAACAAAACAAATCTGGGTCATTTTTACATGCAAATTTCCTACTGGCCATTTTAAACACAATAACAACAAAACACAATAACAAAAACAATCAAACACTATAAAAAAGTAATATTTAAAATCTTTTGACAACTAAAATCAATATAAACATTTATATTCTAAATGACAACTGAAATGTCAAATAAATACATCCAAATAACCACTTCATGGCACCCTACAATTTTATTTCTCTTATTAAATTTAATTTATGTAAAAAAGTACTTACATTACATCACTTTAAAAAATTGACCGTATAAAATGTAAATCTCATCGTATATTGACGTACGTATGCTTAACATTTTCGTAATTAAATTCTCTAGAATATAGGGGGGCCAACTTTTTATATTTCAAAGTGTTTGTTTTATTTACGTAGGACCCAAGTTGATTTTTTTTTAAATTCAGAAAAAGAACCGATTTTTTTTACCTGTTTTGGTCATGACGACCAAACCACTAATGTAATTTATAAGTTTTACACCTTAAAATTTTTATTACACTTTCCTTCTTATAGCTATAAACATTTGGGATTATGTTAATATTAAATAACAATTTTAGCTGAAAATTTGTGATTGAATGTTCTGTCACATTGCATTTTTTCGAGATTTCATGCGAATCTCGAAATCTAGAGCTAAACCAGGAAAACCACTATGATTTTCTGAATCAGCACAAAATTTTACCTTAGAAAAAGTAGTTTTGGTTCAATGAGGAAATTTTTGTAAACTAGTGTAATTAATTATTTATAAAACAAAATAAGTTTATTTAGCACTTTTAATTTTGACACAAACGGCGACTCATAAAAAAGCCTTGATAATATTAATAATAATATTAAAATTAAACTTTGGCGTTGAATAACTTTTAAACCAATGGACTAATGGAAAAATTATAAGAGACCTTTTTTGTAGAGCGTTAAATTCTCTATAAAAATATGTATTTATAATTTTTAATTCATTCGTTCCCACGTTATAAAATTATAAACAACAAAAGTAATTTTTCCTATGTTATTTCCATGGGAAACTTAGATTGGAATGCGCAATATCTTAGAGTTAATATTAAGAGCTCAAATTTTCAGGAATTTTATTTATCAATTTGGAAGTATTTGAGCCCCTGGGAGCAAAGAAATTTAAAAATAACCTTATTAAGGACAACCCTAATATACATATATGTTTGGTTTGTTTGTTTGGTTAATAATTATTGCAAATAATTAGAGAGGAGAAAAAAGAGTTGCGCATTTGTTTGGGCGGTTTACGCGGTTATTTCAAACTCGGACCCTGAAGCGCAAAGTTTAAAACCACCGCCCAGTGAAGCAAAGAACGGAAGATAATGCACATAAGATGCGGAGAAAGGATATATAAAATATTCTTGGTAAAAGTTTGGAATATAAGTAAACATTTTATTGAATTTGTCTTTTTGTGGGGATCCAAATCTGTAGGGGCCCGGGGCGGCCGCCCTCTTCGCCCTCACCTAAATCCGGGCCTGATTATAGTTGAAAAGTGTAGTGGTCGGCAGGTTTCTTGCTACCTACTTCTGATCCTTTCAGTTTTTACTTTTTCTTGAGAAAATGTTTTTGGTCATTAATACGATTTTCTTATTCAATATGATATAATAAATGTTTTGCTTTATAATAACACATACTTTTTAAAAAATAGTTTTTAAAATATATGTGGGTATTAGTAGGTAGGTACTTCTGATTGTTTATCTTTTTACTTTTCTCGACAAAAAGTGTTTGGTCATTAATACGATTTTCTTATTTCATATATATGATATAATCAATGTTTTGCTTTATAATAACATATAATTTATACAAAATAGTTTTTAAAATATTAGTATAGGTATTTTTCCGCCAATTTGGTATCTAAAAATTGTTAAATAGGCACCTACTTTAAAAATAGACATTTTTAAATTAATTCTTTTTAAATATTAGGTTTATTTTTATATGCTTACCAAACATACTTACTTTGGATTGAGTTATAGATGAAATTTTTTGGTTAGCAATTTCACCAAGATTACCAAAGGGAGTTAACACATTTGTTTGAATTGAAGTTCCAATTGGGAATGCTAGAGATGTTGATAAAATTGAAAGTACTAATAATATGAACATGTTGATACCTACAAATGTTTAACACTATAGTATTTCATTTTAATAAACTTTATTTTATTTCAATAATAATTTGCATAGAAGAACAGTTAATAAATTCCATTTCAACATATTCTATAACTATTTAGTAGGTAGGTATATTAGACCTATCTAAATAAAATATTAAAATATTAAGTATATTAAATTAAAATATATTAAAATTAATAACTATTAATACATTTCTGTTTAATTTTATTATTATTGTTATGTCTAGTAAATTTTTTTATTACGTGGTTTTATTAATTTAGAAAAATCGTTAAAATATTTAATTTAGGTAACTTAAAAATAATATATTTATAAACGTATAATTTATTTCTTGTATACATATAAGTAAGGTTTATCGTAAAACTCATTCACAGGGTGTCCAAAAATTATGAGCAAAACACAGATGTACTCTTAATACTAAACACATGTTTCCTATTTAAATGCTATAGCATTATTATAATACTGAATGGCTACAATCCTTTGATGATTTTAAGGAAAAAAGTTAATATTTACTTTAGTTGCGGACCTAAACATTTGGTCCGCTTTATTACCAAGGAAATGTGTGGATATTTTTCGACCAAATTTGGGAAAAAGTTGCTTTATGACCGTAATTCCACCCTTCCAAAAATGGAGTTGTGATTTTTGGTCTACCGGATACTCCTTTATTTAGATAATTTTTTCCTGGAGATTATTCGCAAATATGAAAGAAATACTTAATTTTAAAAAAAGCAATGGCATGTTTTGTAATAAAAATATTCAGGCTTGGGCTTGCCAGTGAGGATGACATGGCACGCCACTGGTAGGATATAACAATAGAACATGTAATGTATAATGTATTAGTGTGCCCAATTGTCACCTAATAAAATTAAACATGTATGTGACCCGCTTTGAGAAAAGGGACCTATAGGGACTCTTATAAGCGTCCCAGTTTAAGAGGAGAAAGGAAGGAACAGGGGTGCGCGATAGACGGCAAGACAACCGGAGAACGCTTTATTAAATGCAAAAATTATTTCTAAATTTAGATAATTAAAGAGAAGTATTTAATTATTGTATAACGATTATAATCCTAATTTGTCATTTGTATATGGCTTCTATCTGGTTCAACATAGGTATTTGAAACATGCATTTCACTATAGAACCAGATAGTACATGTACATGCATGTACATTTATATGGAAATATTTATAGAAATCATATACACTGATCGTTTTTTGAAGTGGTTCGCTAAAAAAATTATCCCACTTTGATAGGTTGTAACTTTTGAATGGATGGACGTATCTTGTTAATTTTTTTTTTGTTAGAAAGGGCATTTCTTTAGCAGTAAGTGTGCACGACTGCATTCATTTGTCCTGATTTAAAATAATTTTACAGGGTGATTTGTAAAGCTATGATTTTAACATTAAATTTATTAATGTGCAGGAGGTAAATGGGTCACCCTGTATAATTTATTTTAAGGTCATCATAGAGCCTTACGTCTTAGCGCTGCGTGCTTTTTTAGATTTTGGTCTTACGTCATTTATTTTAAAAGATATGATTTTTTAACCATCTTAAGTACACATGAAAGTCAAAAAGTTTTATTTTAATTTTTAAAGCAATAACAATAACATTAATAATGAATAACGGGTAGGGCCCCCTCTACTCCTTATCACCTCCTGACATCTTTGAGGCATACTCCTGATGACAGTATTGATGAGGTCACCCGGAATGGCTTCCCATTCCTGTTAAAGAGCAATTCCCAGCTCTTCAATTCCATGTGGTTCAATTTGGCGATCTAACATCCTTCTTTGAAGCGCATCCCACACGTTTTCAATGGGGTTGAGGTCCGGCGAAAGCGCCGGCCATTCCATTCTAGTGATATTTTCTCGTTGGAAAAATTCATTTACCACGTTGGCTCGATGCGGTCTTGCGGTATCATCCATATAAACAAACTGTTCACCTATTTGATGGGACAGAGGAAGAACTATTGGTTCCAGAATTCTTTCCAAGTATCGTAAAGCATTAACTGTCTCATGGACGAAAAGTACAAGTTCAGTACGACGGTCTATTGATATCCCCCCCCAAACTGTAATTGAACGACCACCGAAAGGTGTAACGCCAACCGTACAATCTTCTTCGTAACGTTCATTCACTCCCCGCCACACACGCAGGCGGTTGGTATCGGGATCATAAGAAAACCGTGATTCATCTGTGAAAAGACATTGGGCCCAGTCATTTGCAGCCCAGTTTTGATGATTCAAAGCAAATTCCAGACGTCGCCTTTTATGCCCATGATTCCATTTTGGATGCCTAGCTGGCCGTCTGGAGTGAAGTCCACCTTCATGCAATCTTTTTCTTATTGTGGATGTTGAAATCATGTTTCCAGTAGCCAGGTGCAATGCTCTTTTCAGTTGGGTATACTGTATGCAATATTAAAGCGTCGGGCTACTTCCCTTTGAGAGACACCAGCTAAAACCATTCCTATGATTCTTTCAAGAATTGCACTTTGTAGACGCGGCATTGTTACAAACAATTAAATTGACACATGTCAAAACATTATTACTTCCAAAGATATCTCGATTTTTTACGCACATAGACATGAAGTGAAAGAAAAATTAATATCTTCCAAGGCTATTGAGGTATGATCAAAATCCAAAAAAGCACGCAGAGCTAAGACGTAAAGCTCTATGATGACCTTAAAATAAATTATACAGGGTGACCCATTTACCTCCTGCACATTAATAAATTTAATGTTAAAATCATAGCTTTACAAGTCACCCTGTAAAATTATTTTAAATCAGGACAAATGAATGCAGTCGTGTACACTTACTGCTAAAGAAATGCCCTTTCTAACAAAAAAAAATTAACAAGATACGTCCATCCATTCAAAAGTTACAACCTATCAAAGTGGAATAATTTTTT